GTGGAAGACTGTTTCCCAGCCAGTCAACCTGCAAGCCACCCTCGCAGAAAACAACAAACTCTTCGCTTGCTAGAATCAGAATAACATCAGATCCATGCATCGCAGTCCCCGAGTGGACTTTGTCTGCTGGTCACGACGGATTGCGTGCATCTGCGTCAGGACTAGTACCTCACGTGCAAGTATCCTCATCCATCCATTAGCGGCACTGAGAGTCAAGACACATGCCTCGCGATACATCCGTGTCGTGTGCCTTTTTCCGCATTCAATCCAATGGCTGCCTGTGTCCTGTGGCGCCTGGGCCTCTGACCGCTCGCGCAGGTGCACCTACAAATCCTAGGTACCTCCAAGTACGGGCCTGTTTACAAGGGTCCTCTGCCTGGCGATAGCGGATCTGCCTGCAATCGGTCAGCGACTCACACGCTGCGGAACCAGTGATAAGCCGGGGGCGCCTCATCCATCTGCCATCTGCCGCCTCGCCTCATGACCTCTCTGTACTTTGTTAACCTTTTGACATCCATCCCGTCTGCAAACTTGACTCTGCATCCATTTTTAACCTTTCATAACCTCTCCTCGGGCTTCTGTTTCCCCCCCGGGCGACCATTCTTTTTTTTACACTTGTTTACCCACCGACTGCAATCACATCTTTTGCCAATAGATAACCCGGTCAAACAGACTCGACGCTTACACCATCCGCTGCCTGCTCTCCCACCTCCGCTCACGCTACGTCACGTCGGAAATACAACCAGAGGCGACACTCGTCTCTGCGTGCTCACGCGCACGTGAGGTGGAAGGTGTGGAAAGGGCGCGATGTTTTCTGAGTGTTCGTTGAATGATTCATGCCTCCCTCTCACCGCAAGCACGCTAACTTGAGCCTCCCAGATGCATCGAGATTCCTGGCCCAGTCCCAGTCGAGGATATCCAACTTCGGACAGGCCGACAACGATACCCCTCCTAGACAGTCCGACTGGACATCGCGTCCCTCACGAAACCAGCGCGATACAGGTCGAGGGAACCCCAGCAGGTCTTTCTTGGGTCGGGGCTATGGAGGGAACCCGTATCAACAGACGGGCGGTGGCTCGCGATTCAGTCAGCTAGCCTTTGGGTCACGAATCTCGGCAGCTCAAGATGCCCCTCTATTTCACAGCACCTTGGACGAATTCCGGGAAGAGGATGATGAGGAAGAGAGGGACAGAGAGGCGGCTGATATGTTTGCCCTCCAGAGGTCAAGACGGGTCGCAGCTGCGAGCAAACTGGTCGATAGCGTCGAGTCAGATGCTCACAGCCGTGCATCACTAGAGGATAGCATGAACCATGAGGACCATCCGTATCGGGACATGAGTATGCGACGCGGCATCCGGAGCAGCTGGAACGGAACGCGGAGTGCGCATCGACCCGGCCTGGCACGGGATGCGCTGTTGGAAGAGAATGAGGATGAACCTCGTTCAAGCACCGACGCAGACAGCGACCGTGGAACCGATGCGAAGGGCAAGATGGTGGACGTCGGTCTTGAGTCGCAGGATGATCCAGATGAGGATCCCCCAGCTTCGCTCCTGGGGGCTGAGACTCCGCGAGAGAGCAGTCCTCCAGCTTTCCAACGATTTAAGGGCAGCGACACGGAGCGGACACCATTCATGGCACGCCGGGGATCGACAACCGAAACAGACATGAGCAACATGCGACAGGATGAACCTCCAGAAGCGGAGCATGTACAGACGACGATGCAGTACTTTGAGGGCGAGATATTCCGACACGATCCCTTCTTCGCTTGGATCTTTCTTATCAGCATGGCAGCGATGTTATCGACTTTCTTTCTGGTATGGCTGCACACAGCACCGCGGAAAAGTCCTGTTGGAGACACCATCTACACGACTTTGCAAAAGTCATTTCACATGCTCGCGGTGGACACTGTAGTAGCCGTCCTTATTTCATTTGTATGGCTTGCGACTTTACGGTCTTTTGTGAGAGCGCTTGTCAGCGCCATCTTGGTCGCTGTGCCAGCCATTCTATTCTCCTTCTCCATCTACTCGTTCGTGTCATCATTCAAGGGCCGGACGCATGGAACGAGTCTCCAGGATTCAGTCATGAGATGGGCTTCTGTGGTGCCTGCTGCCGCGTGCATCCTATGGATCTTTCTTGTGGTACGAGGGCGACGGGCTATCCAGCAAGCGATCGAGATTCTGCAGTTCTCTAGCAGAATTCTGGCCCAGAACTCGGCGTTGCTGCTCGTCGGGTTTGGGTGCCTGGCACTGATTGTCGTCTGGACGTGGGCGTGGCTCGCCATGTTCACCAGAGTCTTCATGGGCGGTTACTTCTCCAAGTCACTGGCCAGGTTCATGATCCGCCTCTCTAGCTGGTGGCTCGGAGCCGCCTTTATCTTCTTGTACATGTGGACCGTGTCGGTCATCAACGCTGTCCATCGTGCAACCACGGCGGCGACTGTGTCTCAGTGGTACTTTCACAGGAACGCCGGGCCTCCCACGCCTTCGCGGGAGATTGTCTCGGCTGCACTCAACCATGCGCTCACGACGATATTTGGCAGCATCTGCGAGTCGACCCTACTGTCGTTGCTAATCCGAGCTCCGTTGATCTTCCTCCCTAGAAAACTGGGGGCGGTGGTGGCCAACATAGCTTCGTTCTGGATCCCGACGCCTGTTGTCGCCCTCATGAACCCTCTGACTATAACTCATGCGGCCATTCACTCGCAAAACTTGGCTACTTCAGCTAGAGGACTGGACCAGATGGAGCTTGTATCTCCAGCGATTCCGACGACGACATTGACGCCACGAGTTCTACGCCACCGGGCACAGCCTAATGGTCTCCTTCCATATCGACTCGCCAAGCTGCTACTAGTAGCGACGCGCCTTATTATGGCGACGGGTCTTGGTTTTGCGGGATGGGTCATTACTGCCAAGCAGCTTAAGATCCAGATGCCGGACGGAGTGGGGATTCGCGGGTCTGCGTACGCCTATGTCGTGGGTCTGATGGCTAGTTTCATCGGATACTCTGTCATGGGCGCTATGGAAGGCATCCTGAGCGGAATCGTGGACGCGGTGCTGATCTGCTACGGCAGCGAGAGGAGGATGGACAGAGGCCACGGACGATTCTGTCTCGAGGCGGCATACCTGTTTGGAGAACGCCGAGGAGGGGAAGAGCGGGAGTATGCTTAGTGGGATTATCGCTTTTGTAAGTTGTTTCCAGCTGGCGCGATTGGTTAGGTTACATGGGTTTTAGGGCGGGATAGATCCGCAACTTGGGACAGGAGATGTAGTATGAGTGTTGAATCAGACATATGGGGTCTCTGACTCCGGCTTCTCTAAGGATGCCCGGTTCATGTTGGAAGTGTTTGAGCTGAGCCTGCCTCATTGCTTCGAGCCCATGCCTTTGTTGAAGTGGACATAGCAACAGTGTGGTTAATAACCCCAATATTGGGGAGATGAGCTACCACAACTTCCAAACAGTCATTCAACTTCCTGACTCAACTCGGCAAAACTTTCCAATAGTAACCATCCTTACATTTGCTCCTCACGCATGATGCTATTATACAATAGCTGATTGGCTCTCAATCCCTCAGTTGATCATACTGCGTCTCATCCTCTACGATATCCATCGCGCTTCAACTTTGGAGGAAAGGCGGCAATGCAATGACCGACTCATCATTTCGTCGGATGCATTATAAAAGGTTCCCGAGAGGTGGAAAATCTCTTCAATTGAATTCTCCTCCTTCTTTCTTCAGACACAAATGAACTCGATGCTTTGCTGTGGATTGGAAAGCTTCATCCGGCGCCCTTCGACTCACGCCCTTGGATTGACAACAGCACGCGTGCCGACTTATAACAAGCATCTTTGGACATCGTCTTCCAACTCCTCACTATCCTTTTCACCCAAGACTGAGAAAATGCCTCCTTCTACTTCAATCACCGTCATTTACTCCCCTTACCATCTCGGCGCCCGCGACGTCGCCGTCGGTGGTGGACCAACCGCTCTTCTCAAGGCCGGCTTCATCGATGCCATTTGCAAACAAGGCGTCACAGTTCGACAGATTGAACTTGAACCTGTTGATGAGTATGAAGGCGATATTGGCCGTCTCTTTGAGCTTCTGCGCCGCACTTCAAAGACCGTCACGCAGGTCATCCAAGAGGGTTCATTCCCCGTCATCCTCGCCGGGAACTGTTCCACCACTGTTGGCGTCCAGGCTGGTGTAGTTGCTGCCCGCGGCGCTGTGCCCAGCTGTGTCTGGTTTGATGCTCATGATGACTTCAACACGCCTGATGCGCTGGCTAGTGGGTATCTCGACTCAATGCCCGTGGCCATGCTGGCGGGTCTTTGCTGGAAGACACTCCTGGCGAGCATCCCTAACTTTAAACCTCTAGATCTCAAGAAGGACCTTGTACACTGCGGCATGCGCGATGTGACGGAGCTCGAGCGTTCGCGGGTTATCGAGGCCGGTTTCCCCGTTATCTGGGGCAACGTGGACAAACACGTCGAATTTGAAGCGGAACTGCTCAAGATTCTTCAAGAAAAGTCCCTCGGAGAGACAATGGTCCACTTGGACCTCGATAGTCTCGATACCTCTATTGGAAACGTCAACAAGTTCTCTGCACCTGGTGGATTGCTGGAGGATGATCTTGAGGGATGCATGAGCATGATTCCGAAGCAGACAAGGCCGGTGTCACTGACAGTTGCGTCATTTGACCCTTCGTTTGATGAGGATGGAAAGATTCCGCCTGTGGCTATCAAGGGAGCTGTTGCTTTTGTCAAGAGTCTGATTTCGGAGGGTGTTTTGGAGAGCTCTCAGTAGAAATCATGTCATGTTGAAGATAGTGTATGTACAGACTCTCAGTGAAGACAAGGCCTTTGTCATAGCAGCACTACGGACAACTTCAAGGCTGCCCTTGTCTCCCACCTGTACTTTGTCGGGGTGGATCTTTAATGTGCACTTCAACAGTATCTGGATAGTGGTGTCTGGATTAAAGCCAACTTCACTCAAAGACACAGGCATTGATTTTACTGTTTATTCGGACCGGTCTTATAATAGTTACAAACTTCGCCCTCGTTCAAATATCAACCCATCGTAACAGTTATCAAGACAAACTAGGAAAAAGTTGTTTTTACGGCAAAGTGAAGAGAAATCCCACCTTGCTTTCATTCAATTTGTGATTTGACTCAAGCAGAAGCAGTGAGCCAAGAGATGGAAGGCGAGCGAGCCCGGCGAGGAGTCGAGGCCAGGCTAGGGATAGGGGCAGGCTCTGGGTAAGCCCAGGCGAGCATCGACATGACAACCTCGGGCGCCGCAGCCATGGTTGGGGCCGGGGCTGTTTCCGGAGCGGGAGCTGTGTAGGGAGCTGGAGCTGTTGTGGGCGTGAAAGCCGGGCTTGGGGCTTGGAAGGTGGACGGGGCGGAGGTGAAGCTGGAGATGTAGGCGGTCTCTGGGGCAGAGGCGGCACTGGGTCCTGAAGCTGTTGATGGGGCGGCTGAGACGCTGGGGCTAGGCGAGATGGAGGCGACCTTGGGAGGAGCTGGTGCTCTTGGTGCTGGCTTGACTTGGGGGGTCTTGCGAGTCGTCTCGGCGGGGACAGGGGCGGGCTTTGAGTATGCAATCTTGGGGGTCTGTCTTTGCTGGACGGGTTGAACTGGAGGCTGGGACTTGGGTTGAATCTTGGCCTCGATCTTGGGTTCCGGCTTGGGCTCAACCTTGGTCTCGGGGATAGGTTGAGTCTTGGTTTGAGTCTTGGGGGCAGCCTTTGGCTCTACCTTTGGCTCAATCTTTGGCTCAGCCACGGGAACAGTCTTGGGGGCAACCTTGGGTTCGATCTTGGCGTCAACTTTTGGCTGGATCTTGGGTTCAATCTTGGGCTCGGACTTGGGCTCAACCTTTGACTCGACCTTTGGTTCAGTCTTGTGAACAGTCCTGGGTTCGATGGTAGGCTGAACCTTTGGCTCTACCTTGGGGGTGATCTTAGGCTGAGCCTTGATTTCAGTCTTGGTTTCCACGACAGGTTGGGCCTTTGGCTCGATCTTTGACTCGGCCTTGGGTGCCGCCGTGGGAATAATCTTGGGCTCGACCTTTGGTTCGGTCTTGGGAACGACCCTCGGCTCAATCTTTGGTGCAGTCTTAGCTTCGGCCTTGGGCTTGATCTCAGTCAGGAGCTCCTTGACCTCCTTGGCCGGCAGGGTAGGAGGCTCTGGTGCATCTTCAACAGTAGGGGCAGGAATCGAGGGCCTCTTCACTGGCTCTGGCTTCTTTGCTGGAGCCGGCTTTGGCGCAATCTTGGGTTCGGGCTCGGGCTTCTGGATAGGGAAAGTCGGACTCTCAGGTGCATCCTCAACCGTAGGAGGGGGGAGGACGGGTTTCTTTGCGAGTTCGATCTTGGGCTGAGCAGGCTTGGGCTTGAACTCGACCTTTGGTGCTGGCTCGATCTTGGGTTCGACCTTTGGCTGAATCTTGGGTTCGGGTTTTGGCTGGGCCCTGGGTTCGAGCTTGATCTCCTTGGGCTCCTCTCTGACTTGCCTCGTGGGTAAGATCGGGGACTCTGGCCCCTGCAGCACCTTAGGAGCAGGCACCGCAGGCTTCTTCTCTAGAACAGGCTCGGGCTTCTTCTCAATCTTCTTCTCAATTGGCTTGGGTAGCTCCCTTGGTGGCTGCGGCTGCTGCACAACTGGCTCCGGCTTCACAGGCTTGGGTGCAAAAAGGGGAAGAGGAGTCAACGCCTCGGGCTGCTTCTCAGGCTCGGTGTTGAATCTAGGCGGAAGAGGACGAGAAACCTCCTTAGGCGGGAGCTCAGGTTCATTCTCCGGCTCAGTGTTGAACCTTGGGGGAATAGGGCGTGACTGATCCTTGGGCGGCAGAGCAGGGACGTCGGCTTCTTCACGGGTGGTAATTCGGGAGATGGTCGAGTATCGAGACGACGTCGAGGGTCGAGATCCCTCAGATGAGTCTTTGGCGGGTTGACCTTGATCGCTGGGTGAGCCTCCTTCATTCTCCTCCATGCTCGAACGACGAAAGATGCGGCTGATACGTTTCGCAGCCGACTTGGCCGTCGGCCGACGCTTGATGGATCGAATCGAGCCGGGCATCTTGAAGCTATTCGAAATGTACTGCTAGAGAAAAGAGCTACCTCAATCAAGAGGTCGGGGTGACGAGGCTCTCCTGCACGACGGAAGATTCAGGGTCGTGTTAACAAGGATAAGGCCGGCAGTTGTGAAATGAAGGGGATTGGTGAGCGGGAGGCACAAGGCCTTGCTCGAGGAGTGATGGAGCTGAATGAACTCTGTGTAAGCAGAGGAAGTCACGAGAGTATGACCAAGAAGCAGTAGAGGATGAGAAAACCCAGAAAGAGAATCAAGCACAAGAGAGGAGATATGTCCTCGGGGTAAAGCTATTTATACAAGGACGGCATCTAACAAAAACGGAGATGCGTCCCCGTGGGGCCGCCCCCGAGATCGAGGGTGATCCATGTTTACAGCTGCACGACACAAGCTGAAGACGACATCCTGTGGAGCCTTGAAGTGGCCTATGAATGACCTCGCCGGATCGGGAGAGGCTGCAACATCGGATGCGGGAGGGGCGGTGATGCAGAAGCACAAAATGTCATCCGAGGCAAGGGAATGCACGGAATATTTCCTTGGTCCTTGTTGATTGCCATGGGGCTGAAGAGACGTCAAGACATTGTCTCTGCAGCAGGGAATATCCGTGGACCGGCACGTCCCCATCGGAGGTCGTTGCCCCGGTTGATCTCGGGAGAGCCGGACCCGGCTGGCTCGGGGCGCCGGAGTTGATGAGAGAGGCAAAAGAAAACTACCCATCGATCGAAGTAAAAGAAGAAAACAATGTCTCATAGCAACACTCTCTTCTTCTCTTTTCCTCTACGAGTCCTCAAGAGATCTCAGATCCTCGGGCAACCAAAGGCCGCATGCTCTAGATCTGCTCTGCAAGCGGGAGCAATGGCTCCGCAGAAAAACAAAAAAGACAGGACCTTGCTTTGCTTGTTTCAGCGCCTGGTTTCCGCATGATGCAAGTCTTGCATTTTTGAATTTCGACTTTGTACACATTTTGTGCAATGTTTACTTTGTTCTTCTTCGGCATTTGCTATGGTCCACTTGAATGTCAGCAACAGGTTCTTGTTCTCTCTTCGTAGCCGAGGGAACTTGTGAGATGTGAGTAATCTACTCAACTCGTCATCAGCAGAGAAAGACATGAGTGAGTCTATATGTCTCACCTTTCATCGAGGTTGTAGAATACAAAACATTATTGAGAAGGATTGACTACAATCACTCAGCAAGGATACCACAGCCATAGTAACACAATGTGCACAGCGTGTCAAATGTCGCAAGAAATGTACATTGTTTGTCTATAACTTTTAAAATATCAACACTTGAATATATGTACAGATGAGGTCATGGCTCAAATAGCCAGTCCTAACAGAATATTTACTGGTTCCAGCTGTTGACGTTCCACTTGACGTAGCTGGGGTTGATCTTGTGAATGTCAGGGACACCCAGGTTACCGGCATCAATGGCAATCTCGTGCTTGAGAATGTCGATGACCTTCTTGACACCGTCGACACCAAAGACGTTGGCGTACATGAAGGGACGGCCAAGACCGACAGCCTTGACGCCAAGGGACAGCAGCTTGAGGACATCAGCACCGTAGCGGACACCGCCGTCGGCATAGACCTCGATCTTCTTGAAGACCTCGGGGGACTCCTCGTGGATCTCAAGAGCAACCTCAAGACCAGAGGGGCTACCATCGAGCTGGCGGCCACCGTGGTTGGAGAGGATGATGGCAGGGGCACCGTGCTTGACAGCGAGCTGGGCGTCCTTGGCGGAACCGATGCCCTTGATAATGATAGGGAGATCGGTCATCTTCTGGAGCTTCTTGTAGTAGTCCCAGGTGATGTAGGAGTAGTCCGAGTCACTAGCCATGTTAGTCCAAGTTAATGTTACTTCAAGGGTACAACTTACGCAGAGCCAACACCGAAGCGAGCAGCACGGTGTCGGTTGCCGTCGGCAGCAGAGTCGACGGTGAAGACGAGGGCATCAGCACCAGCCTTCTTGGAGCGGTCAAAGAGCTCCTGAGTCTCGGTGTCGTTGGAGGTGAGGTAGAGTTGCTGGAAGACGACCTGGCCCTTGGCCTTGGCAGCGGCAATCTCCTCAATGGTGCGGGAGGCGTAGAGGGCGGGCTACCCGATGTTAGCGACTTGATGTGTATGCCGAGAGATAGGAGCTCACCATGTAGAGAATGTCACCCTCGGCAGCACCCTTGACAAAGTTCAGCTCGGCATCGGGATGGGCGTTGCCAGCACGAGCACAGGGGCTGATGAAGAAGGGGGCAGAGAAGTTGTGGCCCAGGATAGTAGTACTAAACCCAATCAGCATCACCTTCATTTCGCATTCTTCTCTATACATACGGCAGAGTGCTCTCGACATTGGTAATGTCAACCATGACACGGGGCTTGAAGCGGTATCGGTGAAAGACCTCGAGGTTGTTGCGGTACGAGAACTCGCCGGCGGCACCGTTACGGTAGTAGGTGTAGTTCTCGATGGGGAGGTAGTTCTGAGCCGCCCACTCAAAGTCGGGGATGCCGATCATCTGGTCGAGCTTGGGGAGCTCACCAGTAGGCAGATCACCGAGGACGAGGTCGATGCCGGTGTCGGGCTGCTCGAGGAAAGGGCGAGCAGCCATGGCACCCGTGGCGAGGGCGCCAGCAGCGAGGAGTTGGCTTCGCATAGTGAAAGAGTGGTAGGATGTGTAAGAGAGAGAATGGATGAGTTGGTGTAATCCTGCTTCGATCGAGAGAAGAGTTCTGGAAGAGTGGCAAGGCGGCTCTTTTAAGTTCCATCAAGCCTCTGCCCTATCCCACCTTCCTAGTCTCGTCTCCCAACAGCTTGGCCAAAGGTACTCTACATGATACCGATCCTCCACTTCTTCCATGGACCCCGGAGCGAGTCATCCCACCGACGGCCGATGTGTAGGCCCCGTCTCTTGCTTAGACTTTCTGCCCAGCCTTGAAAGTGTATGTACTTTGGACTAGGCTGGAATCTACGTAATGACCTGGGCTTGGGTGTGTGTAGCAGCGAACAGGGCACCTGCGGGCCGCCATCCCAACGGGGGGGTCATGGTCCCACTGCCGAAATTACGCTTGTAGCACGTTGTACTCTATCTGATTCTGAAGCCATAGAAGAAAGGTTGCGCATGAGTGTAGATATGTGACCTGAAACCGCAGTGAATGTTTGGTTTATAGTGTCAGACGGATACTCTAAAAGACGCACGTCACTTGGGATGACATTCACTCAAACGAACCAACATGTCTCTACTCTCTTAAGAGTTCATCCGCCCTTGAGTCCCACTGTTGGTCTTGTATAAACCCTGGTCGTTGGTTGAGCTTAAAACGCGGGAATATGTTGCTCGATTCGGCATTAGACTCGCTGTCCAAGATGGAGATGATTCCCTTCTTTTACAATCCGCCTTGAATTAAAGTTTCTCCTTCAGCTTGGCATGATTTTGCAATAATCAGGATTGCAAAACGTCTTTGACGTGGTTTAAGCTTAAGAACAAGGCTCAAAGCCACAAAAACGGCATCCCATCCCAAGTGTTCTACAAGGATCCAATGTTCAAGGGTCAATGTTCTAGCGTCGCATCAGGGCGGCCGCCCCGATGCAGATTCTGTTGCGCATAGATTTGTCTAGTGTTGGAGGCAAATTTGACGGCCTGTGGATTCAAGCGCGCGCGTTTCACGTCACAATGCCAAGGCTTGGACTTCCAACCTTCTAGTGCTTCTATCCCGCTGCATCCAGTTTGTAAGCTTCATGATGCATACGCGTCTTGAGGCTGAAGTGACGCCGTAGCCCGAGGCGGTGCAATCCATTCCATTCCAACCACCGAAGTCGGCGAAGCTATTCCCGCCATAGCCATATCTGCGAGCCTAGGGCAAACATACTTTCGGTAGCTGCCGTTGCAGCAGCGTGGGATGCACAAAGGCCACGAGGGTAAAGTATCATCGTCAGTGGATGCATCCTTCATTTCGGCCGTTCTCGATCACATTCAGCTTCCTCCTTCGTCCACTTCGTCCAGGCACCGGAGCGTCTCTTTCCGGAAGCTGCAGTCTGCAGTAAGAAAAATCTCCCGAAAAAGTGACACCATCTCGAATTCATCCGGTAGGGGAGTCCTGGTTCATCGGGGTAGCATCTGCTTATCAATCTATGGGTCAGTGTAGCTGATCACCATCGTCAGGACCCGTTGCAACACTGCAAGGTCCAAAAAGGCCTCCGGTTTTTTTTCTTGGCGTGGGAGTGAGTGGGATTTTTGGAATCATAAAAGGGCCGTTATTCACGAGTCATCATGGGTGTCATGGAGCTCTCCATTCATCCACTTCCATATAAAGCCCACTGCCTTTTCCTGACTCGTCCTGTCGTAAGTGCTCCGCTTGAATCAGCACTTGACGAGATCCATCAGATGTGACGAGTATGACAAGTGCAACAAGAATTTTGAAGGATCTTGGACCACGAAAAAGAGATACTCCTCCTAGTAGACGGAGTGCGTCAGGTATAGTGAGAACACCTCGTATGAGGAGTACTATATAGGGTCCATTATAGGTGATGTCTACTGGAACTACCTGCTAATGATCAATCTACCTTGATACGATATCTATTCTCTTTTTACTAGAGTGTTCTTTGATCTTGTGTACCCAAGATGTCATTGAGAAACAAGAATGTGTTCTTCTCATTCATTTGTTGTCCCTAGCCTCAACCACATCAAACACGGCGCACTCCCAAATCGATTAACCTACTTTTTTTTATCACTGGATGCAATGGATGACGAGAAGAAGCGATGAGTCACAACGGTAAAAATACACAGTGCATGATACACGACGGTATTAAAACCCAATACCATATCAACCTACATCTGGGAGAATATCCCAGGTCTTCACTACCAGAACACAACGTCAGATTAGCCACCCACACATGATCTTAATGGAATGCTGCATGCGTCTATATGCTTTCCAAAGAACAAGACTAGTAAAAACGTCAAAGAATAAGGACATTGTGAGTGAAAACGTGGGAAAGGAATGATCGCTCGGGTCTAGCCGTGAACTCCAGGGTATGCATTCCATTTCGTTAGTTGACAGCTGCAAAGTGAGCACTAATCAACTGTCACAATTACAAGTACGAGGGGTATTTAGGGAGAAGATTTTGTATAGAGAGTGATATTAAACTAGGAAAATACACACAAGATATCGTCAAATTGACTATTTGGAGTTATGGTGCTCAGAAGCTGCATATCCCTAGACATTGATTGCACTTTTGCTCACCCTATAGTCCCAAGGCTACCTTAGTTTGGATGGGCGCTTACATGCATCAAAACGCCAAACTAGTTCGCCAAGTCCAAGATAGTTAGATGCTAAGATAACCAAGTCCTGCGATGTACCCATTGCGTTTGTCCAGGCGACACGGGGCAAGCCAACTACTTTTCGATCAAGTTGTATCAACAGCTGAGCAAAGGGCCTTGGCGTTCCTGTACTATTGATTCAAGTGACTGTGCAGGGGATGACTACTGAGGAGCCTGTGATAGACAACGTGTTTACGGTGAAAGATAGAAACTAGAAGGCACTGAAAGATGTCCATGTGCATGTTTGACCTTTGTCTGTTTACTTGACAACGCACAACGCTTGGTTGCTTGCCTCACCGTAACGTCACGGGATTCAATAACTTCCAGACCGTGTTTGGTCAACAAACCCTGTCATCAACAAAAGGCCGCTTTTCACGGCCTCTCTATGGCCTTTGCCGTGGCCAACACACAGTTCATGCCTGAAATCGTGAACAAGGGCCAACTACCGCTTGCGGGGGTCGGAGCCTTTGACGTGGTTGGCAGCTTGTGATCTGCAGCCTACCGAAAAGTGGATATCTGTTGCCGGGCAACGCCACTAAACACGGTCACCCAAAATAAGACCCTTCCTTCTCCTCAAGGGAAAGCCCCCCAACAGAAGAGTAAACACCTATTCACATCAATCATTGCAGCGTCATGTTGCTTTCCCGAATTCCTCTTTTTACATACTAACCAACAACAAACCACACCAACAGCACACATCAACCATGGAGTCACCACCAAAGAGGATGACCCGTGCCCGCGCTGCCGCCAAGGCCAGCGAGTCCAAAACCACAAAGATCGTCACAGCTGCCGCCCGGGCGAGAAGCACAGCGACAGCAAGCACCAAGAGCACCGCCGCTAAGAGAAAGACACGGGCGGATGAACATGAAGAGGATGAAGAGGAGGAGCACCGTGAAGCCACCGTCGTGAGACGAGCTCGCGGTCGCCCTCGGAAAGTGGAAGCTCCAGAGCCAGAGGCACCTGTGAGAGCCACACGAGGCCGAGCCACCAAGAAGACTGTCACAGAAGCTCCCAAGGAGGAGCCTGTCGCACCTGTCAGAGCAACTCGAGGACGACCTCGGAAGGTTGTTGCTGCAGCCCCCGAGCCCGCTTCAGAGCCTGTGAAGAAGACAACTACACGCACTCGTACAACTACAACTACACGGGCAGCGACGGCTACCAAGCCCGCTGCCAAGAAGTCTGTCAAGTTCCAAGAGCCCGACAAGGAGAACATCGAGCCTGCCATCGAGGTCAAGGAACCTGCACCTGTCGGCCTCCGAGGCCGCCCAGCCAAACGCGGCGGTGCTGCTTCGGGCACCCGAACAACCAGAGCGGTGGTAAGATCCGCTGCGCCGACCGAAAAGAAACCATTAAGTCCTAAGAAGATTACTCAGATGCCTATTTCGAGGGACGACGACTCCGAGGACGAGCTCGCCGGCGACACCACCCCCGTCAAGCCCTTGATGAAGAACCCGATCAAGCCTCCTGCCAACGCCGTCGCCAAAAAGAACCCGGAGCCTGTCGAACAAGAAGAACCTGCCGAGTCGACAATTGCTGTAGATGGCATCCTCAACCCACCTGATCTCGGTACATCCTTGGCCTCTCCGGCTAAGAGACGACCAGCTTCACCTCAGATGGATACAATGCGGTCACCAGCTCGACGGATTGGAGCAGTTCCCCTGCCTGGATCAACAATGAAGAAGGCTCAGGATGGAAATGCCCAGAACGGAGAGGTCTCATCGTTCAAGGCCTCACTCCTTCAGTCTGCGGCAAAACGACCCCAGTCACCTATCAAGGGCATGAACCTTGCACCCACCTTTAATGCTCAGCAAAGCCAGTCGGCCATGAAGCCTTCACTGCTTCTTTCGCCTGCAAAGCGCTCCGTGCCTGTCCTGAAGCCGCTTACTGAGCCTCGACCACGGGATCTCGCTACTCTCGGTGAACCACCAGCCATGAAACCCTTGGTCTTGGGTACCCCTACTCCCGCCAACCACACTAGAACCTCGCACAAACTCATGATTGAGGAGTCTGATGCCGACATTGGTGTCGCCGAGGATGATGTCTTCAGCGAGCCCATTGGAAGTCTGCACTTCCCTGGCCGGCTGTCTGCCGTCTTGCCTCGCCATGCGGACCCCGCCCTGAGAAAGGAGATGGGTATTGTTGATGAGGTTGATGAGACGCCAGTCCCCGTTGAAGAGCGCGCTACTGAGGCGGATGCTATCGTCGTGGACCAAGAGGAGGCAGCGGCCGAGATCGAATCGGTGGCTGAACCTACCGGAGAAGCCGACGAAATGGCTCTTGACGATGAAGCTGCCGAGGAAGAACACGTCTCACAGGCAACCTCGCCAAACAGTTCACCCGCAGCCCAATCACCAACTCAACAGAATCCCAGTTTCCAGCTTCGAGAGAAGGACTTGGATCCCTGCCAAGACATGGATTCAGAGTCGGATGATGAGAATATTCCCCCCAAGCGCACAGAGCCAGCTACTCCAACTGCCTTCAACCGCAAGACCCCCAAGACTTCTCGAGCTTCTCTCGGAGGCTTCACTTCTCTTGTTGACCGTCTAGGTTCTTGGTCCGCTAGTACACCCATCAAGATGGCCCCTCTCACTTCCACCAAAGCCACTAGCTCCAACGAGCCTGTCGCCCTTCCTGAGCGGACTGCCACGCCCCGCTCTGAATCCTCTCCTTCTGTGAATCACTTCTTCGAGGATGAGATGACAGTGCGAGAGGGCATGGAGAACATTCAACAGGACAAGCTCGACGAATTGGAGCCCGAGTTTGATGACATCATGGTTACTGAGGAGGATGTTGCTTTGGCTCTCGAGGCCAACGAGATGTCCTTGATGGGACCCGAGGAGTTGGCAGAAGTTGTCAACACTGATGCTTTCGACGATACCCTCTCTGAAGCCAGCCAAGAGTATGGCGACGAGAATGAGCTTCCTGTCGACCCTGCCATGACCCCTCGGTCCGCAGCCCCTGTTACTCCTGTCCGCCCAGTGATGAAGACGTTCCACACTACGACAAAGGTGCCTCTGAAGCCGGCCGACCTCTCGACCCCTACTCCTCTCAAGAAGCGCAGCTTTACCGCATCAAGAGTTGCTCCTAAGCGACCCTCTGGCTCAACAAGCAATGCTGTCCCATACTCACAATCACGAAACAGGAAGAGCCTGCCTGCGACTTTTGTCCAGTCTCCTTCTGCACCCTCCACACCTGTTCCAGCAACTCCTTCAAGGGCTGACCTGTGGTCTTCAATGGGCACACCGGCACGCACTCCCCGACGTGATGTCGACCCTGCCCTGCTCCGTGGTGCCGTAGTCTTTGTTGATGTCTACACCAGCGAAGGAGCGGATGCCAGCAGCATCTTTGTCGAGCTGCTCACTCAGATGGGAGCCAAGTGCGTCAAAACTTGGAACTGGAACCCCAGTGGTTCCGCCAGCGATGTGACTTCCAGCAAGGTTGGCATCACGCACGTAGTCTTCAAGGACGGTAGCAAGCGCACACTGGAAAAGGTCCGTGAGAGCAACGGAATTGTCCAGTGTGTCGGAGTCAGCTGGGTACTTGAGTAAGTTTCTATCCCTGACCTCCGCCATGAACCTTTAACTGACCAAAACCAGCTGTGAGCGCGAGAACGACTGGCTTGACGAGCCACCCTACCGCATCAACACTAGAAATGTTCCGCGTGGCGGAGCCCGTCGTCGCAAGAGCATGGAGCCCACAGCTCTGGCCAACATGAACGGCACTCTTGTGAGCAGCCCATCCAAGGGCAGCAGCCCCCGCACAGCTCCTACGACGCCCATCAGGCGCCGGGAGAGCACCGCTTGGATGTATACACCATCAGAGGCAGATGAGGACGAGGACATGGAGGACCATGAGTGGTCTGCGGCCATCCTGACCCCTGTGCCCAAGACCCCTGCTCCTGAGGCTATTGCCCGCTATGCTGCCAACCTCGGCCCTGAAACACCCTCTGCTGGTGATGATGACGAGGATTTCGATGACTCGCCCACCAAGACTGATCTCCTCACGAGAACATGTCCTCCCAAGTCCAACGCCTTCCGCGAGGCAGGTGCTGGCATCATCAGCCAAAGCAAGGATGATCACGTCCTCATGCGTCTGATGGCTGCTCGTCGCAAGAGTCTTCAATTCGCTCCCAAGGTTGGAAGCCCGCTGGCCAGGGCCTGGAAATAGATTTAGAATGGCGAGCATATGGTCATTACTATGAATGGACCAGGAGTTTTAAGGTGCAATTGGTTTTTTGTATTTTTGAGAACGGGATGGCAGACACTCGTTTTGGAACTGGGATACCACGGGACAGACACAACGGGTGATCTGGCGTTGGGCGGCTTATCTGAAGAAACGGTGTGGACGTCTAGATACATATGGTCTGGAACCGCCGTATTAATTGCATCATGCTTGACAACTTGTATTGACCTTGGTGATGGTTTAAGTAAAGCAAGTGATTCGCATCGATCAGGGACAAGGTGAAGGTATGACTGGTTGAACTATTCGGGTTGGTTTAAGGGTTTGGTGTTTGCGTATGGCTGTGTTGTGATGCCCATAATCTCTGTTATGCTGGGTTGTCGAGCGACGAGATATCGGCCTTGCTTGGCTCTTGTCGCCCGATCTGTGTCGACTTTCACGGCATTTGATCCCTCGTAATATCCGTCATATCATGTCGACCTTGGGATGGTCCGCCATGCCGTCGAAGAGGCAGCTTGACCATTTAACTCCTATCGCCCATCGTTCTTCCAACCATCCTAAGCCACAACAAAAGCTCGCATAGCCTTGACAGCATCCCCCTCATTGCTCTTAAGCAGCTCCGTAGCCTTGGCCTTGGGCAGCTCCAGCTCCTCAACGAGCAGGGCGACATCCGCAGGGTCGACCTTGACGTTCTTGTGTGATGCAGCCGAGGCGGACGACGACTTTGCGGCACCGCCGAGCGTCTTCATGGCCTTGCTTACGGCGTCGGCGTCGACATTCTGGGCCGAGGATGGGGTTTCGGCGTCGAGGTTTTCGAGGGCCGAGGCGGCCTTGCGGTCCTCGGCTGACTTTGCCGTTTGCGAGGGGGTTTCGTCTGTCGCGGACATTTTGGTTGATGTTGGTGTTGGTGTTGAGGTGAAGCTTGGTGGGGGTTTGGAGGGGCGTGAATAGGTGGGGTGGATAGCAGCTGGGATAGGTACCCGTAAAGACACTTGGTGAATACCTAGGTAGGTACGTATGTTACGGCACCAATGTCATGCGTAATTACCTTTTTCTTTATTTATGCACAGTGAGAGGTGTTATTATGTACCTGAATAGTTAACCTGGTTACTCGTTTTGTTCTCAGACAGCTAGGCTGCCGGACTATTGACTACATATCTAATACTGTCTTGAAATATCAAGGACAAGCTACGACATTTTTAGTCTGGGGTCTACAGTAAGGGTTCATACATATTATCGTTACAGCTGTAAAGTACTTATCTAGCTCCTTGTTATGAACAACACTTCTCAAATTAATTAACAACACCTTGACTTCCAGGTTGCCCGCGCCACATCACCAGCCACACGCAACCATTCCGCGGAGGTGGCTACCATCGGCTAAAAGCCACCTCATTCGCCAATTGCATCAACCCTTGTGCAACTTCATTTTTGCCCGGGGTCTGTGTGTTCTTCTCTTTCGAGGGGTTTGGTCTTTGTTCAAAGGTGTTGCTTGGATGTGACTCACTCAATTCAGGACACCATAACCATAACAAAAAAAAGTCTCACCACTTTTAACTTTTACCAAGAAACACATACGAAATTACAAGGAATCTTTCAACCTTGGTTATATTGTGCGTGGCAGGTGCCGCAGAGTTTCTTCTCTCTCACTCATACTCTCACTCACCAGAGTTATACAAAGATGGCTTCCTCCGACTGGGCTCCATCCTCTTGGCGCTCAAAGCCCATCAAGCAAGCCCCCTCGTACCCAGATCCAGAGCCCCTCGCCTCCGCCGTCGAGGAACTCACTGGTCTCCCACCGCTGGTGCACCCCAACGAGATCGACGCCCTCAAAGCCCACCTCCGCGATGTAGCCCAGGGAAATGCTTTCCTTCTCCAGGGCGGCGACTGCGCAGAGCTGTTTGACTATTGTCGTCAGGGACCTATTGAGAGCAAGATTAAGCTTTTGCTGCAGATGAGTGTTGTTCTCATTTGGGGAACAAACAAGAGAGTCGTGCGTATTGGTCGTATGGCTGGACAGTATGCGAAGCCGCGATCTAGCCCGACTGAGATTGTCCAAGGAAAGGAAGTTCCTAGCTTCAAGGGTGATATCATCAACGGGTTCAGGCTTGAGGATCGAGAGATTACTCCTGCGCGTCTTGTCAAGGCGTATCACTACTCGGCTGCTACTCTCAACTACATCCGCGCCGCCCTCGCCTCGGGCATTGCAGACCTCCACCGGCCTCTGGACTGGGGTCTCGGTCACGTTCGGGACCCAGAGCTCAAGGCAAAGTACTCGGCCATTGCTTCGAGCATCCAGCAGACTCTGCGCTTCTTGCAGGTCATTAACGCTCGTCCTGGTGAGCTCGACTCTGTTGAGCTCTTCACCAGCCACGAGGGTCTTCTCCTCGAGTACGAGCAGGCCCTGACCCGCCTCCTGGAGAAGCCCGCCCCGGGAGCCCGGAACCGAAGCCCCACGCCGGACGGGCCCGCCCCGAGAAAGGAGTACTATGACACCTCGGCGCACTTCATCTGGATCGGCGACCGCACCCGGCAGATCGACCATGCCCACGTCGAGTTCTTCCGAGGTATCGCCAACCCCATCGGTGTCAAGGTCGGCCCCACGACACCGGCCTCTGACCTTCTCTCCCTCCTGCGGACACTCAACCCGGATCGCGAGCCTGGCAAGATCACCCTCATCACACGCTACGGAGCCGGCAAGGTGCGTGAGCTCCTACCCACGCACATCCGAGCTGTCGAGGACTCCGAGTACCGCCGCACTGTTGTCTGGCAGTGCGACCCCATGCACGGCAATACCCTCTCCACGGACACGGGCATTAAGACTCGCCGCTTCGGTGACATCTACCGCGAACTCGAGGAGACGCTGCGTATCCACAAGGAGGAGGGAAGCTACCTTGGCGGCATGCACCTCGAGCTCACTGGCGACGCCGTTACTGAGTGCCTGGGTGGTAGCGAGGGCCTGGATGAGGATGACTTGTCGACCAACTATACGAGTTTCTGCGATCCCAGATTGAATGAGAAACAGGCGCTTGAGTTGGCGTTTTTGGTTGCTGATCACTTTTCGAGAGAGCAAAAGAAGGAGTCGTCATGAGATGTCATGTTGGTAAGGGAGTGTAAAAAGGGGTTTTCTCAAGTGCAGAACAAGACAAAAAAAGCAATCAAGGCAAAGGGCCTAATTTCACGGGCCATATCTACGAATATGAAGCAATGTGTAGGAATCAAATCAACAGTCTATCCAGCAGACATAATCTCTCATCCTGACCATTCGATGCGTGTGTCTTGATCTGTGTTCTGTGCAACACATTGGCTTCAGGGCCTGCTGAATCTAGAAAGGCTTAATTTCGTGTCATTTCATGTCTTTGTGCTTCTGCAAGCTCATCACATCTTGCTGTTCCCAATCTTTGCGTTTCCATCTTTCCATGACCGTCAAACCAGAGTAATCGTTTGCGACGCCTCAAAAGCGTCACCCTTCTCCAGCTTCTGCCACCCCTTGACGGTTCCGGGTTCCACGCAGAGCATCTTCTTCCAGCCGTCCTTGGGCTCAAAGTCCTTGATGCCGGCAGACTTGTCGACCCAGGGGTTCCAGACCACGACCTGGTCGAGGTTGTCGCGGACGATGCGGAAGCGAGGGGTGCCGGACTCGGAGATGACGACGGGGTGCCTGGGGCCGTTGACTGGGGTGTAGACGGAGTCGGTCTCGGCGGCAAAGGTGATGGCGCCGGATTGGGTCTCTTCCTCTGGGCCGGCGAGCTTGGAAATGTAGGTTGAGTCTTCAAGACCGGTGACCTCGGTGGAGGAGATGTCCTGACAGAAATATTTAGTCATGGCCATGAGGCTCAAATGTTAATTGACTTACGTCAATCTTGAAGTAGGTGTGCAGGAGGGTCTGGAACTCGAAAGGAACATCACCATCGTTGGTAATGACCAGGGTGGTGTTCAAGCTATCCCGGTCAAGCACAACGCTATAGATGAGAGCAAACTTGTAGGGCCACAGCTCCTTGGTCTCTTCCGAGACACTCTCAGAAGACAGACCAAAGTCGAGCTTGACACTGGTGCTGGAGCCCTCGCTGGTGGACTTGCCAAGGAACTCCCATCGCGAGTTACGGGCGAAACCATGCTGGCGGAGCTTGGAGGTGGCCTCGTGATCGGGAGCAGTTCCAAAGACCTGAGAGAATGGCTATTAGTAAGTCGACTACCTGCGACGGGGTATAGTTGACGAACCGGGAACACAATGGGAATTCCACCTCGGACGGGAGCGCTACCGTCAAGAGCGGCAGCCTCGCTCACCCAGAGCTTCTCGCTCCCTGAGGCATCCTTCCAGCTGATGACAGTAGCTCCATGAAGGAGAACCTCGACGCTCTCTCCGGTGGGGAGGACGGCCGAGACGCGAGAGTCGTCGTGGGTGATGTTGGCGGTGGACTCGGCGGCCGCGGGGGTAGCGGAAAGGGCGGAGGGCTTGTTGGGGCGGTCGACCATTGTGACGAATGTTTGCTGATTGACAAGAGGAGAAGTAGCTCAAATGTCAAAGAGAGGGAGCTTTTGGCGGAGCTCGAGGTGGCGGATGATGATGGAAGTGGATGGGTGGGGTTTGGAGTTCCGAGTGGGGGGTGTTGATGTTTGCTGATGAGACGAAGGAAGGAAGAGAGTATTAGAGGAATAAGTAGGAATCAAAGAGGTATTTATTGATAAGAATGAGTAATTAATTCTTAAGAGCCTAGTATCTCTTTTGCCTTGTCCACGCCTGGCTTTGTCGTGATGTTGTAAGATGGATGGTGATGTGCAGGCGGCCGACATCCCACCTCGTCCATCGGCATGGCGGGGTAGCTCCCCCTCCACCAATCAGAGTCTACACAAAGATGGAGATGCCGTGTCGTCGCCGTTGAGACTCAGAGCTGAAACACGTCTCAGATGCTCGTCGATTGTGATACCCTCCAAGCCCGCTTTATCCACGTCGTGAGGCACGGGGGACACAGCATATATGGTATAGGCAGCCTTGCGTTTAAGTAGCCGAGGGTGAATTCTGGGCATCACCGTCGCTGTCGCTTCGCTTCTGCAACGTAGCGGTTGAGAGCCGGTTTCGGGCACGTTATAGCTTCTTTAAACCTTGGTTTGGGAGTCATCACATGTGTCGTTGTCACGTCTTGGATAACAAGGATCCCATTATAAGAACTGTCTATCTATAGGTGTGCAGCGGTGAGAGGATAAACAATACTCCATAATTGTCTCCGCCTCAAGTGTCACCAGTTCCTTTCAACAGCGTCGTCATGCCATGACGACCATCATGGCGTCTTGACAGCTATGAAACATCTGCAGCCTTATTAAAAAACGTGTCGATGCTCTCAAAATAGTTACACTAGTTGAGCACGATCCAACTTGTAACCCAAGATTCACTGGGGGCGTCAAACATGTTTCACACAGAGACAGATCGCTTCAGCTATTAAAAGAGTCATGTTGTCTTGGGTATCTATGTAGCATATACTTTATCACAACTCTACTCTCCAACCATTGCCCCATCCTCTAGCGGAACAAATGGGGTATTTTTCCTATCCTTACAATAACCCGACCTAGCACCGCCTGAGCTCGTCCAAGCGAGCAGGCATCAAAAGGGAAGCATACATCTTACTTCTCCTGGCGCTGGTTCTCCTCGTCCGTCGAGGTAAACAGGGCAGGGTTGGTAGGGCCGTTGTTGCTAGCGCCGCTAGAGCTGCCACTTCGGTGCTCCGTGTGGCCCTTCTCCTCAACCTCCTCGACGGCGATGAGAAGGTTTCCATTGTTGTCGTACCGTCGCGGCTCGATCTTGGCCTGGTGCACAACATCCAGAGCACCTCTGAGGCCCTTGACCTTTTGGAAGATGGTGTCCATCTCCTCGAGAGATCGGTAAGCAGTCTCAGGGAA